TTACATACTTTTTAAGAAAGACATAATCATGGCAAAAATGGAGACAGTATTTTATCTTCCACATGGCCACACTTGGTAGGATAAGAAAGTTAGCAAGTTCTCAAGGTTTACCATACAAAAGCCCTCTGTCTATCTCCCCCCGGGAGAGCTCCTTTCTATCCAGCATTCCCACCTCCCCCAGTCTTCATTCAAGGCCAGTGACCACCTGAGTGATACGGAGCTCACATACAGCACCAACACCCTCTCTTCCTCCAAAGATACTCATAAAAATCATCTCTAACCAGTTTTAGCTTCTCTTGAAATTATAAATCTATAAATTATAAATCTGCATTTTTAAAAACTTTATTGGATACAGGGTTTCACTACACAGCTCAAGATTCATAGTGATCCTTCTGTATTAACCTCCCCAGTGCTGGGATTACAGGTGTGCACCACCATGTCTGGGGCCAGCACACTGTGCCTGGGGTTCCAGGTTTGGCACGGAATGAGGTACTAGGGATCGAACCTGGGTCCTTGTACTTTCTCGGCAGTCACTTAGACCGCTGAGCTATCTCCCTACCTCTAAACCTGCATTTCTTAAACATATCCAGGAGATAACAAATTTAAACAGTACCAAAGGGAAAGAGATGAGCCTCTTTCCTCTGCTGACCTCCAGCCCCCCCAAGTTCTATCCCAGAAACAATCACCCATTTCTTGAGCAACCTTCCAGAGAGTCGGTGTGTGGCTGATACACACAGCTACAATGGACAGATTATTTGGCTTTTCCAGTTGCACAAGCCCCAAGAGTTTTCAGAAGGGTAATTTGCACAGAATCTTAGAGAAATGCAACACAAACACTAGAAATGTCCAACATCGAGGCAGCTTTGAAGAAAGCAGTAAGTCCCTTACCCTGATATTAAACACTGCCAGATACCTCTCACTTAGATCTGCTGACTTTCTGAACACACTTCTGGACCGTATCCAATCTGGAAGCAACAGTGCTCATAAGCACCACTGACTGAATTAAAACAATAGTCCAACATCTGAGCAGAAGTGAGTTCTGTGCCTGTGTGTGTGGTGCTGGGGTCTAACTTCAGGCTCTTCGAGTACACCCAAGCATGCACCCCATCTCTCAGCTACTTACTCCCAACCCCCCACGGAAAACATTTTCAGGCTTCAAGAAGAAGCCCACAGCTTTGCTCATCTAGGGTCCAATGAGCAAGTGGATACTCATCCTACCTGTGCATTTCATTATATGATAAACTTCAAATCTGTCTCCTCTGAGCTTCTATTATCTTGGACCAAAAGTCTTCAAAACTAACCAAATGAGAAAAACATTGCTGTCCAAGGCTCACAGAAGATGCCGAAAAAATGGAATAATCCCAGCCTTGGATATCTTTGAACTTCTTTTCATAGTTTTAAAACTGGGTACGTGACAGGTTTGCTAAAACAGGGCATTCAGCTATGCTTTCATTCAGAACAATGAGAGTGATCACATGAAGAAGGCGTGGCAGTGTGGCGGCTGCTACTGTCAGCTCCAGTTTAACACACGCTGCTTTTGGGCTCAGTGATTATGGAACCAGTCCTAGGCACTGACCTTCATGCCACGATCCTTCACTGGCAAAGCATGATGGGTGAGAAGGTGGTGTAGGGAGGTAGAGAGCCAGACCTGAGTTGGATTCACAGCTGTGTTCACAATTAGTTGTGGGGCTGAGTGAAGATGCTCATGCAGTCTAAGCCTTGGCTTTCTTTGATGTAAATTGACACTAATAAAAATGGCTCCCTCGTTGCATCACTAAGAATAAACGGCTCCATTTTTGGAAAGCACTAAATAATGTCTTTCTGCAGGACCCCCATTCGAAACCCCAGGGCCCTGCTTTACAAAGCATTAAAACTTTCAAGATGGTAACAACAGAGCATCCAACCAAAGGTGGAGCTCTGCAGGGCAGACGGCCCTCCTGCTGGGGCAGCAAGCATTCCACAGCTGGTAGCCATCATCAGCTCTTACTACTATCCCAGCTTCCATCTGCCTCCCTTCCCACAGCGCTCCTCTCCCTGGACAGCGCCCAGCCCACTCAGACTCCATGGTTACATGGATCACTTGAAAACCTGACACCAGTGTCTCAGAAGGAACCTGGATTCACATGGAAAGGAACTCACTGAACTTGGGAACTCTGTAATAGAAGATGCTGTCATCAAGGGCTCGTGTCAAACAGGTTTTCCCTTTGCGTCTCTTCTTTGTATCCAGTTGAACTAACAACTCCCCTCTCCTTCAAATTTTTGTGTGGAAGGCTTTCTCTCCACACTCAGTTCAACACTGTATTTTCCCCCAGTCTATCAATAATTCTCAACCCCTATTACCCAACCCTATGCTTACTTTTTCCAGAATATTTATGTTATGTAACATGCTATCTCAATGACCTACTACATATATGTCATCTACTTTTACTTTTTCCATAGCACCTATACTAATGTACTGACTACTTCATTATGTTATCATTTATTCCTTACTTTCTTTATCTATCTGTGCACACACAAGAGTGTAGGCTTCTGTCAGGAATTTTTGTCTGCCTCTGTTCACTGATGTACTTAGAACCATGTTGGCTCATATAAGACATTCGGTAAATATTTACGACAAGAATAAGCGCATAATCGATCTGGGCCACCCTACTTCATGTAGAGATATAGCTGGAGACCCGGCCACCCTACATTATGAGCAAATGGTAGTAAGAAGCAGCTCAGCACCTGAATGCCCTACAGAGTTCTAGAAATGGATGAGAAATTACACATTTTCAAATCACTACTAAACCCTCCTCACTTGAAAGGAATACAATCCAAATTTCTCTGTCACTCAACCCAATATCTCTTTCAACATTAACTCATGTATACGGTTTGTTGCAATGAGCTGCAGCAATGATGAGTGGCACTTTATTTGAGTGAAGTGTTTACAAGAAATGCACTTGTCTAAGTGGAGAACATAATAATCATTTTTTAAACAAAGCACTCTGGGAGGCTGAGGCAGAAGAATCTTTAATTCAAGCCCAGCCTGTGCAACTTATATGTAAGACCTTGTCTCCACATCAAAAGGGCTAGGAATGCAGTTCAGCATGAAAACCCTGGATTCAATCCCTGGTACTCAACCCTCACAGAAAGAGAGAGGCAACCAGGCACAAGGGCACATGCCTGTAATCCCAGCTCTCTCATAAACTGCGGCAGGAGGATTGCAAATTCAACCTCTCACGGGGAAATTCAGCAATATACCCAGTCTCAAAATTAAAAACTAAAAAACAAAACACTTAAATTTTCTTTTTCTGGAATTGAGAATCAAACTCATGACCTTGCCATTGTCAGGCTGAGCTATTCCCAACCCCCCCAAACTTATACTGAAACAAACAAACAAACAAAAACTTTAAAAAAATTAGAAGAAAAAGAAGCTGACAACATTGCGTTAGCACATGACGTGGAAAACCTGAGCTGTTAATGGAAAAGGAATGTAAGGTCTCTGGCCCTGAAACTGCACATAAAGCAGTCCCTCAGGGCCGAGCTTTGGGTCTTGGAGTTATAGGTAGCACCACAAGCAGCAACTCGAACTCCTGCCTGTGACCTTAGTGCAAACCACAGGGATGAGGAACAGCAGTGAGATTAGGTCCCTATTTCATGCCATCCCCTAGAAGATAACCCCAGAGCTGTGCAGTTACAACTGTATGCTTATGAATAGAGAGGATCTGCCCTTCCACGTATGCTTAAAATGTAGCTTATTCAGGAGAAGCATCTGGAGCAGGAAAATAATCAGAATAAGCTCCAAAGTCTTCTGCAGAAGATAGGAATCACATCTGGGCTCCCAGGCCAAATGCAGACCACATGGTCTGGTTGGGACAGCCTCACTGAGCAAAGCCCAGACAGTCCTGCACACAGCATCTGGCTTTTGCCCCGGCTTGAACTACCACTCCCTCTCAACTCTGTATTCTGCTTTTTTTTTTTTTTTTAAACAAGCCTTCCTCAGGCATCACAAAGCCTTCGGCGGGATTGGCAGGGAGACACGCATCCTCTCTCCCAAAATAACATAAGCCGGAGGCAAAGGCCAATGAGCTGGAGCCCGTAGGCCATTTTGCAACCGTTTCAAATAGCCTGGCACTGACCCCATTACCAGAATCGTGAAGGGAAAGCGGCCAAGCCTCTCCTTCTCGGATTAATGTCGTCTCTCCCCTCTTCTATCACTACAAACGTCTACAAGTTTAAGGAAGACACAAAATAGACCATGAGTCGAGGCGTCTTATCAGTGCTGGCTACTAGAAACAAAATTTCATTGCGCAAATTCAATACCCAAAAGTTGAAATTGGAAGCTTTAAAAGAAATACGTGGGTCGGTGATGTAGTTCAGCGGCACAGCGCTTGCCTAGCAAGCTCAAGGTCTGATTCACCCTACCAAAACCAAACTAAAACAAATGCACAATGTTCGTTGTCAGCTAAAGCTGCTCAGAACTTTCTGAGGCCCGGACCACAAGGACCTGGTGAGCTGCCCCGTCTTCCCCAAAGCCTTTCTGAGAGCTCCATCTGCTTCACACTTTCCAGACTCCTCTGTCTGCCTTTCCGCTGAACAGAGAGGAAGCAGATTTCCTGGCTGCACCCTCCAAGAAGCCAAATAAAGTGCCCTCCCTCCTGATGTGGAGCAAGCTTTCAACACACGCACGCACGTGTGTACTCTTAAAAATATAAATAAAGCAAAGGGGGTGAGGAATCCAGGTTTTAAAAAACCTTCCATAAAAATCAATAGGAAACTAGGTAGCGACTTGTCCCTCTCCAAGCACTTGCCGTCTCTACCTGGCAGCACCGTTAGCCATGGAGATGGCATTCCAGAGCGGAAGGCCTGACGCCTGGACACCGAGGGTCGCGACCCTGGGGGCGCGCTTCCGAGAGCCAGCGGCCCGCTGCTTCTGCTCAGGTGCACACTGGCTGGCCCGGGGCTTCGCAACCCCGCCCTCCCTCGGGGGCGCCGTCTTGGGACCCCGGCCGCGTCCTCACCGTGTGGTACAGCAGGGCCTCGCCGTCCCCCGGCTCTGACAGCTCGCTCAGCTTGCGGTCCCACTGCAGGACGCCCTGCTCGCCGCTCTCCAGCACCTCCATGGCGCTCGGAGCCGGCCGGGCGAGGCCGTCTAGGTCTGAGGGTCCGCAGTGCCGCCTCCGGCCGGCGAGAGGCCCTGAGCGTGTGCGTGCGTGTGCGTGCGCTTGTAGCGAGTGACCGGGCAGGGACACGACTGCTCCCCTGGCCGGGGTCCTCGGAGATCTGAGGATCCCGGAGAAACAGCCGCCCACGGCTAGAATCGGAGGCTGCAGGGGTTAAGCAGGGAAGTGCATCCAAACCAGAGGCAAGAAATCAGCTCCCATTCCAAGAAAATCCCTCGCCCGGAGCCCACTTTCCACTACCGCTTCAGACTGAAACTTTGAGACTCCCCAGCTGCGGCCCCACCTCCCTCCAGAGCAACAGCCAATCAAACACCCACCTCACCCTCGAGACCCAATCATAAGTCTGCCTCTTCTGGTTGTCCCGCCCATAAATGCAGAGCGGGGGGAAGTCTCCGCCCAGGCTTTGGAATGTGGGACGGGAGCACCTCTGACGTCACCGGGGAACTCCTCCTGCCTGCTCACAGCCAGCTGCGGGAGATGTGCGGCAGCGGACCAATACAATCCTTGAGTCTGGAAGTGATGGACGGGACAACATGCCAATCAAAGAACTGAGGCTGGGAAGTACAGCCAGTCAAATAGAGACAAGAATACATTTTGTAAAAGTGGGAGGGCGACTGCAGTCCACTCCCGAAGAATCCCTCAAAATTAACTCTGGCCCTGAAAAGGGGTGTGACAGTTGCTGTGCTGCAGAACTTAGAAAAAGGGGATAGGTTTAAGCGCTGTCTAGAATACTTTCAAGTAGTTTAGTTCATTTGAACCACTAAGGATTGTTCCAAAATGAGTTATGTTTCTGCAAAATATAAATATTACCCCTGTGCTATTTGACCGGCCCTTATCCCCTGGAGTCTTTTGGAGATTTATTTTAATGCTTAAATAGAAAGCCTCAGTGTATATCACTTTCCTCAAATAATAATTTTCTCACTTTTGTTATAGTCCTTGATTTTTCTTTTCCAATCTGTTGACTTCCTTTACCATGTCCTTTCCATAGATATCCTTTCAACTCTTAAACACCGAATTTTTGGAAACAGTAGTCAACATGGGTAAGGGAGGTTATATTCCTTAATATAAGAATGCAAACATTTACTTATCCAACATTTCTTTCTTTCTTTCTTTCTTTCTTTCTTTTTTTTTTTTTTTTGAACCGTGGATTGAACTCAGGCCCTTGCACTTGTCAAGGAAGCGCTTATCCCACTGAACCATCTCCCCGGCTCCTATCCAACATTTCTGCGTTTTACAAAATCAAATCCTGGTTATGTCCATATGGGGGCAGCTTCTAAAATGACCCCTAATAACCCCACTTCCAGAGTCCTCACCCTTGGGTAAGTTCCTACTCTTTATTGTGGCTAGACTTGAAGACTTGTTTCCAGCAAATAGAATATTTCAAAAGTGAGGAGACATCAAAGGTGTTCTAACTCCAGGGGTGCTTTTTGTCTCTTCTTGTCTTGCTTGCTGAGGGAAGCTGGCCACCATGCTGGAAGCTGACCTACAGAGAGAGCAGTGTGGCAAGGGACTGAGGAAGGCATTCAGCCACTAGCCAGCAAGGAACAGAGGCCCTCAGTCCAACAGCCCTTGAGCAACTGAATTCTCCTAATAACCCTGGAAATAAACATGAACCTGGCTTCTGCCCCAATGAGGTCCAAGATCACTACAGCCTTCACGTACACTTTACTATACTGTCAGCCCTAAGCCAGACACCATCCTCCTGTTTTGCATGTTGACTATCAAATTCTTGCACTGTCCCTCTCATTCTTAGGAACTAGCAGTTGAGTCGGCTCTTTTCCCAGTGTCACTCACAGCATCTGTTGTCCTCTGTTATTAACAGGTAATGTCGACTGTGTGATTGGACATCATATTTCCAGCTGAGGACCTTGTGCTTGCCGGGATGGTGATGTGTCTCTGAGCTATATCCCAAGCCCCAACAAGATATCTAAAAATGTTTTTGCTAGTATTATTTGCTGTTTCCATGGCACTATTTACACATTTACTTTGTGTATTTTCTAGACCTTCATCTCAGTTACTAAGATAAATTGAGTCTACAAATGGACACTTGACAGATTCCCACATTATAAGAATAAAAGCCACCTTCTGGGCTGACATGGCCCCACTCATCAGTATGCTGTGCATTGGACTACTCAACAAATACTAACCTGTTGAACCTTCCCTGTTTTCAATTTATGCACAAGAATATGTTAAGTGCCTGGGAAATTTCAAGCATCATTTTATCCACATGTGTTAGGTGTAAAACTCTCTTAAAGAAAGAAAAGAGGTTTTGTCATTGGCCTTTTCTAGACTGCTGCTTAAGGAAGACAACAGAACACATTCAGTTTAAATGTGAAGATGTGAAATCCAGTGGCAGGCAGATAGGAAGAAGGAGGCATTCTAGTGTGGTGCTTCTCAGGGCATCCCTGGAGCTGGGACTGACTATTGACCTCAAGCCTTAAGCACATCAGTATACAGCAGCCAAAGGACACAAGGTTGGTGATACTCAGAAAGATGGCTCTTCTTCCTCAGCTAGAACCCTTGCAGGATTCAGGCTGAATTCAAGAGTTCAGTGGCAAGCCACTGAGAGAAAAAGTCAACCTAAGCCAAAGCTGCACAAATAATAAGCAAAGCAACTGGAACCGTGTCCTGACACAAGTGTATGAGACCAGCAGAGAATATTTGGTTTTCCGAAGGGAAATTCTGAGGAGTACAACACTTATAAGGTCCTCTCTCCCTGGTGACCAAGGGGAGGCTAGATAAGAACTCAGAAAAATGAAACCACCTAAAATTAAAGACCCAGTCAGGAAATGGACTAGAGAAATGAACAGATACTTCAGAGAGAAAGCAATATAAATGGTCAAAAATTTATCAAAAAAAAAAATTGTTCAGCAGCTCTGACCATTAGAAAAATGCAACTTCAAATAATGCTAAGATTCCATCTTCCTCCAGAAAGAAAAGCAATCATTAAGAACTCCAACTATGAAGGTGGGTGAAAAAGGAACCCTCCCACATTATTTTTTTAAATTTTATTTTATTTTATTTACTTTTTTACGTTTATTTAGTGTGTGTGTGTGTGTGTGTGTGTGGCCAGCTCAGCCCACCTGGGGACAGGGGCTGGCTGGCATGTGGTGCTGGGGGATCGAACTGCGGTCCCTGTGCTTTGCCAAGCTTGTTCCAAGTAGGTGCTTTAGACCACTGAGCCATCTCTCCAGCCCCCTCCCACATTATTGATGGGAATGCAAACTAGTAAACCACTGTGGAAATCAGTGCGGAGATTTCTCAAAGAATTGAAATCAGAAATTTCATTTGACCCAGGTATCCCTCGAACTAGGTGTCTTTCCCAAAGACCTTGAGTTATCACACTGCAGGACTACTTGCATACCAGCGTTTATAGCAGCACAATTCGTAATAGCTAAATCCTGGCAGACTGTATACCCATCAATGGATGATTGGATAAACAAATGTGTTATTGGAATTATTAGAATGGAATACTACTCTGCTACAATGAATGACAAATCTGAGGCACTTATAGGAAAATAGATGCACCTGGAAATATATAATACTGCTGGAAGAAATCAGGCACACAAGCTTAAGTGCCATATAGTAGCTCTCATTTTACTAAGGTAAAGTACAAAGAAAGTGACAGAGGATGGATAGAAAGGGATGAGGGGACAGATCTTATCCAGTAGGGAAGTGGCCTAAGGGAACAGGAATGAGGGATGAAGACAAGGGGAAATGGAAATGAGAGGGATAAAGATCCACCACGGACAGGATCCTAATATCTTCAATCGATGTAAAGTTCATGTTACATCATAACATGAACTAAGAAGAATAACAACTAGTATGAGAAAGGAGACAGGGGAGGCGGAGGAAGAGTGGAGAGGGGGGAAAGGGGTTAAGGAAAAGAAAGCTGTAATATGTACAGGTACCACTCTCCAAGACAATTGTGAACTGAGTTAATTTCAAACACTAATATAATATATAATATAATTTCAAATACTAATATAATATAAATAGTTCCCTGCTATTTCACCGTTCAACTTCCACGGACTCACTGTTTCGCAGGTTTTCAAAAAATATTAATCTAAATTATTTATTGCGGGGTTTTTTGCCATATCATGAGATTTTGTAATACCATACAATATACATATGTTGCTAAAATTAAGTAGGTTTATGAGTTTAGAGAATGGTTAAGAATATTAGAAGTCTGTAATCCCAGCACTTGGGAGGCTGTAAACAGAATCACTATGAGTCTGATCTAGTAATGAGACCCTGAACACCCTGTAGACCCTTCCCTAAAAATACACACAAAAAAATTAGAAGTATTTTTTAAAAGTGTGAGAAAGGTTTACAAGAGTGTGGGAAGGATTTCTAAACATATATACATATATTTATATTTCATAAGTACATATTTATGAAATATAACGTCCCTACTTTGCTGATTTTCACTTACAGTGAGGGCGTCTGGAACATGATAAGAGAGGAACCAGTGTAATATAAACCAGAAAAAGTGGCGTGACTATGTTAACAGGCACCACTTCTATCATGGCAAGCGCTGCCACTAGTAAGATCCACCAACATGTGACTTAAAACTGCAGAAACATAAGGCCCCTCACTTCCTGTGACTGGAGATGTAAAGCCAGCATGAGCAGCGCAGCCAGCCTTCTTCAGGAGTGTGGGCGGACTCTTTCTTCAACTCTTCCCAACATCCCATGGTGGCCATCACACCCATGTGAACAACATTGTGGCACAAGTTCTTAGTATGAGCACAACCCTGCTTGACCGTTTTACTGTCCCCAAACAAATCTCATCGATGAAACTGACATTGCCCAAAGAAACAAGATAAGCTTCATTAGCCTCCAGATTTAGCCTTCCTGCCATTGCTCTTCAGGGTGTATGCATCCTCCTCTGTCCCCTTCCTGTCCTCTCTCACCTGTGTGTGTCTGTGTGCACGGATGCAGGCAGGCTGGTGCTCTCAGTTCTGCTGGTCCCTGGATCTTCCATTTCGAAACTCTGTGATCACACTATCGCTTTTATATTTTTGAGAACTTCCCTCCCCGCTTGAATGTTCTTTTCCTTGTACTATAATGAACTGTGGCATCCTGCCTACCTCATCTTCGAACATCAGATTTTTGGTGTTGCTTGCTGGTTTTTGTGTTGTTTTGCAATAGTGGGTACTGAACCAGCCTCTTTTTTATTTTGTGACAGGGTCTCACTGGGTCTCTAAATTGCCCAGTGTAGGCTCTAAATGGTACGTAATCCTTCTGCTTCAGGCTCCCAATATGCAGAGATTACA